AAACGTGGAGCAAACTCGAAATACGACCGTGTTAACTAAACAGAGTACGAGTTAGTTTGGACGGGATGCTTAGGTAGTAAACAGACGCAACAAAGCTACGGCATAGTAGTAACTCAGCAGTTAGTCATATAAGTGTGAAGCGGTATCCAAGCAAGTAGCATTAGCGATAGAATGACGATGACGCAAGATTTCACACTGCATATCACTGCGCTGACGACGTCACCTCGTATGGTAGCGAAACCTATGCAACCAGATCGAAAGGCTCGGGGAACAAATGATCAGCTGAATGGAGTAAGCAAATTTGCTTTTGTTAGCAAGGGAATTGGTGTACATAAGTAGGTCTATGCGAACAAGAACACTGATTTTCATAAGCTCAGTCAAGTACAATACGTCGGACGAACAACAGGAGATCTAGATGTATTCCCTCTGATGACTAACAGGTGAAACAACATGAAGCATCAACATCATCATGCTGGTCTCAATTCCGTTACTTGCGGGGATCGTTCAATTCCATAGATGTTCCGGAGGGAATTTTCTTGAGGCGCATGTACCAACCTTGCCATCCAAAGCGATGAAGCGTTCATGAGTACTTGGAGTCCCAAGATTCGCGCTGTTTACTGCGTCCAATTCTTCTCTTCCACGACATGAAACACTACGGAGTACTGCAAGTGACGTAAAATACTCTCAGTAGGTGGAGCGAATACCAGAGCGTGAATAGAACCTACAGTTTTGATACGGTGAGGTTACAATTAAAGTCGAAATAATAAGGAAGGCGTCTGTCCCTGTATATCTATCCGAAACTTTAATCCATTTATCTTTCAAGTAATGAAAACCTGAAATGCTAACTCAACGCCTGAAGTATATGCCAGTGTTTGGAACATATGGAATGCAATGCGCAGGTGTGATTCCAACTTCCGTCCTCAGATGGGTTCGACTTTTATCTCACGGTCACGTTTATAATACGCAAAAATGCTAACATTTCAAATGTAAGGACTTGTGAAGATACTGCAGTTCAATGCTCTCGTTTTTTTCCTAGGCTGGATAGTACTAACGGAATTGTCCGAATAGGCTAAGAATACGATGATATTTGTATGCAGGTGTAGTGTCGACTCATTTAGGTTTAAATATTTTGATATCAGTCCTCCATGTTTAAAGCTCCTGTGGATGCTTTCTGTACCTGTTCAATGAAAGCGAGCGAGCCGGAGTAAAGCAACACAGGAGCACGTTAATGAATTGGGTGTAGAGCTACACCTGTGTGATAGATAACCGCTATTCTGGGCTGGGAATTAGACAACACTCACTGCATCATGTCTCTAGGTCAAATCGGCCTGTTTGTGTGTCAGTTAGCCTGGAACTGATGATATCCGAATGCGCCATTTGGACAAATTTGTTGTCACCGAAGATGACAAAATGTTTACCGTTTTGATTGCCTTGAAGAAGGCATTGATGCTCATTGAAAACCGAATTTGATCTACAAATTCCCTTTATTTGTATCGCCTGTGACCTCTGTGAATGTCGGCAGTTAGCCAATTGGATCACATTGCTGTCTTGAAATCCGAAGGCGCATAATCGAGCCTGCCATGCGGATGCGGTGACCATCGCGGTATCTTTAGCTTACGCGCGACTGTTGGTGGCTACGTGTCACAGCTGGACTCTAACCGCAAGTACGTATTTCAACTAGTAGTGAATAAGCAAGAAGACGCGTCAGTCTGGCACGTAGTATACTGAACACTTAACGGTTTACATGGGAACACGGAAAGTTAGGGTGTGTCCTTGAGTGCGTGTGTGTAGGGCCAATCACGTTTACGGTCATAGTGAGCGATCATTGGTTGAACACGTAACATCCGTAACGGCGAGGAACTGGTAGCTGTATGGTTAAGTTAAAACCCCAGGCGTTTGGTAGGACGTGAGCAGAACAGCAGGGTTTTAACGATGATGTTTGAAGGAATGCGACTTGCTTTATCTGTTGGAAATTAAACTGCTGTATTTGGCATCCTTCCCACCAGTGGTGTTTGACTGAACATTCGGCCCGATTAACCAAGCACCGTATAGGTGGAAACATGGAAAATAGCTCCGTTTCTCAAAGGATGCATTTACAGCGATATAACTAATTACCGTCCAGTGATAATTTTTCCTAATGATTTCGAAGCTCAAGTGGCCATTGTTTTTGACGCGCTCATACCTTGTTTGCTTGGATTCAGTTGGATCGCTAGAGAGGCACATGACTTCCGCCAGAATTGATCGCGCAATAACAATCTGCTGTTATCAACAGCCAGATGGAATTGAACATTGGCTGCTTTTGTATGACTTGTGGTGGTGGTGGTGGTGGTGATGTAGTTTCGCTTAAGTATTGTATAAGCACAATCACTGCATTTGCCTCGCCAAGTTCCAGAAATACGACATTTGGTGACTCTCTGTTAGGGTGAAACAGCGACTTCTGCTGCACGTACATCGGGAGGCAAAACTGTGTGCGCCAATATCAGATCCCTTCCAACTAGAATTTGATGCGCCCCAAACGCCCGTGTTTGAATCCTGTTTGTCGTTCATGTTTGTAAACGATGTGGTAAGTTGTTCGGTACGGACCGTTTAATCTATGCCGAAAACTCAAGGAATGCTGTGCGACCAAAGCGCTTAGTGATAGCAAGCTGCTGCAGCACAATGTTGCAAAGTTCATGTACTCCGTTCAGATTGTTTCTCAATCCAAAGTAGCTTCGTTTGCGAAACCAAACGATTCAGCTGCATAGCCACGGGGAGCGAGATCTATGGAAGCTTTCCCGAGAAGTGGAATTCGGAGTATTGAATTATCAGGAACTGGGCAGTTTCATGCATTCCGAAATATCATTAGAAGGAAATGTTTGAAATTGAAGGCGCTGAAGAAGCAATTTCGGATGAGTAAACTCATCGCTTTCCCGGCCACTACAAACTGGAATGCAAGTGTAGCAAACATGGAAGGAGAGGGATATCCCTGTTTCGGATTTTCCACAACGTCGAGTTCCCGACTACGCCTGCGATCTGTATCATGTGACCCTGCTGACCGAGACTGAAATTGCTAGCAGTTTTCAGTGGGCAATATCGAAGCCTGCGTGGTGACCATATCAATGTTTACCAGAATTTACACGACCCTATTCACAGTTACCACCGCGTGACAAACCGGTGTCATAGCATTAAACTCAGAGGTCACTAACTCAAAGTGCCAGAGCGATAGAGTCGCTTGCGGTGCTGTTCGAACCTCTACTACTCACACATGAGCATTGTTACAAACAATACACTAGCCAAAATAAACCTCATCATCTAAACCGCATTATCTACGTGAACGTCGGGAAGTCAAAATGTGAAACTATTCATCTCTGCTTCCTTAGAAAAACCAAGGCAGACAGCCATCACTGCTAGTATGGATGCTGCGACTGCGTAATTTGCTGATCGACGAGAACACAATGAAATATTGGATCCGCAGCTCCGATTTGTCCATCCGGCTGTACTTGCTCCCGAATTTGTACATATACTTCAACTACACTTTTGGTGGTTGCACTACTGAGCGAATAAGTTTCCACAATGCATCAATGGTATAACGATGAAATCGTTTTCGTAAATACTGTTCAGTGGATTCTTGCCGAATTAACACGCGCGGTAAATTTGTCGGGTTCGTCTAAGCGGCAGGATACTCGAAGAATTTGATTGAGACGAGCATAGATTTTCGTAGTAAATGAATATTTGGAAGAAACAAGGGTGGTTTGATTGAGTTAAAACTTCCCCACATAGCAAGATTAGCGGACTCGTCTTGTATGTCCAGATGACAGACAATTTAAGTAATTTGCTGAGAAAACAGATCGCGCTACATAATTTATCGAAAGGTAACCAAGATAGTACATGCGGGTTTTGTATGACAATTTCCATGCAATCTAATGCAGACATAATACGGTTGATGTAGTTTTAACACTGCAAACTAGCACTGAGCCATTATTCATCGTGAATCACTGCCACGATAATGCTAATCTTGTCAAGATGAGCATCATGACATACCTACCATACGTATCCATCTGTATGCTGTAGCCCATATGCTATGTAAATATCCACATTGCAGTGTGATTGATATTTGCTCGTAACGGATACGATTGTGCACACAGTTCAGATACACAGTTTGTTTAAATGGAAGTACTACATCCCCACACTGAATTACTCTTCCGAACGTCAGATTCAAAGTGACATCGAGTGCGGTAGCTAATCGCATGTGTGTAGAAGCAACTGGAAAACAGCAATCGGTGTTCAGCCAATGAATCTGGTATCGACTACCAATGAAATTCGATGAACGACTATTTGTGTTCTGACATGCACATACCTGTCGGTGCATTTGTGACGGTTGGATGGCGATAGCAGTCGTTAAACATCTGCGTAGGCTAATGAATACTGAGCTCAATTGCGATGTAATCCCTCCATGGATCATCAGTCGCGTCCTCAATTCGCCGCCATTACAACGATATCCGTACTGCGTCGGATTGTACCGGCATATTTTTCCATATGCCATCAAAATGCGACAATGCATGAAACTACGTCTATCACATGCATTAAAGCAGCGAATACTAACCTGCCGTCGAACTTCTGCGGAAGCGAATGTTGGCGAATCCTAGCAAAACACAGAGTCGGATAGCGGAACACATTATGACCGCAGAAATCACAGCGGAACGGCTCTCACTCAAAATCGGTGCGCGTTTTCTCGACGCACATTAATGTGCTGCAAAGCTGTTGTTCTAAGGCCAGCGCAGCGTCACTGTTATACATAACCCAGTGTTCAACATCACGCAAGCCAAAGTGGGCGAATGGAAGTGAAGATAGTGAAGATGGAGAAGTATAATTAATTATATGCAATGCAGGAAGCTTGAAACAGTTTTCATTCACTACTGTTTGTCAGATAAATATACGAAGTACATACACAAGAAATCAAAGGTCTCTGTTAGGTGAGTGAGGGAAAGACTGTCAAAAGTGGAAAGATTGCGACCAATGGTTCATATGTCAGTTGTCTCTTCATTATCGTTGGGCTGTGCATGCACTTCATTTCGTCTGCGTACACGTCGCTTCCTGTATGGATTGAGCAGGTAAGGATGCGATTTGGCGAAGTGTCTGCCTAAATCCCAGGTCCACTTGTAGGCAAACAGACATACGGCGCAGACAAATGGCCGGGAGTCTTCATGAACCATCAAGTGTTTTCGCAGACCCGTTGGCCACTTCGCGGTGTATGCGCAATGTGGGCAGTGGAAGCGGTTGGTGCTCGGGGATTTCAGATTCGCCGGCTGCAACCGTTATGGAGAGAATGTTGTGAAGAACTGAGCATTCAATAATGTTGGTATCATGCGAAATTGCTCACCGTACTAAACACAGTGGGTCGAAACTTTACTTAAATCAGTTTGCAAATGAATGGTGTGAAGCCAACAATTGTTTGATCCAACGGAAACATCTGGATTGAGTACAGTTACAGCAGGTGTCACACTTCGGTCCGGTGACGCATGAACACGTGGTAGTTCGTTCCTCCGAAGGAGTATTTCAATAGAGTATTTCGATGCCGCTGGAGAAATTGTAGACTGGTTGTATTCATGGACAGCTATTAGTCAGGGACAACGGTAAAGTCTTAAACAGTTGGACAGAAACGATTTAGAACCTTAATAACTCTAAACCAATATCCTCCCCCATCCTCTCACAACCCAGGTGGTTATTTGAAACTATCAAATGTCATCCTAACGGATTGCCATTTCGGTTACCACTTCCATATAAATTTGGCAGAGTTGAAGCGCAATTTTCCATTCCAAATGTGGTTCCGCATTTAATTTAAGGGATGAAACCTACTGGTATGTAGGTGAGTCCCATGTCGGAATGTGGTACAACACAACGTAATTAGAATGACCGCTCCTCCTTAACCCACAATCCAAAGTGCTTAATACAGTTGGAGAACAGACTGAAGTTATTGTTAGGTTATATTCAGCGTCCTTTCAGGCTCAACGAACTGAACCACCACTGCATGGAGTATATAATTGGTGGTTTTGCTCGATGGGCTACTGCATCGCTCCAGATTTTGATTCTGTCAAGTAAACTGTGTGATCGAAAACGAGTACGCCAAGGTGTGTCTATAATCTACAATTGTTCACTTACCTGAACCGACGTCCTCCAACTGTTGATGGGACTGTTACGGTTAATCTTCTCCCATCCAATTATCACGTCGCGAGAGTGCACCGTTTGATAGTGCGCGTTTAGTGCCGCCATGTCACAGTACGACTGACCACACCCGCCACACGTTGGACACCTTCTCCTTTGCACACGACGATGCTTCTCTCTGCACTGCTGAGGATGCCTTGCAGTTGGTGGCCCCGCACTCTCCCATCGGGGTTGGTCACAATGTGTCTGGGTGTCCGGAGGCGTCCGAGACATGTATTCCCGCTGCATCCGTATGGTACCCAGTGGAGTCGAGGAGGCAAGATCATTCACATCCAAAATGTCTGCTAGCGTGTCATGGCTCATCGGGTGTGGCGATTCCGTCGCAACTTTCGTCGATGGAAGAAGGAGGTCCGAATTGATGGGATCAGAGTGGGGCTCGTTGAACCATTTCGCTTGCTCAATTTTGGTGTGGGATAATCCCTTACTCTTTGAAAAGCTACACTGCTTTACAGCAGCGTCTTCTCTCATCTTCCTTTGGGTGACCTCGGACTCCGCATGCCACACCGAGTGCGCAGTGACATTCGACTGCAAATGAATGTTTTGCGAGTGGGAGTTCTCCACACCATCTCTGATGCAAAGGTTCAGTGGCTGTAGTTGTGTGGCTTCCAGAGACGCATCGCCACACGGGGACTCAGTTTCCACAGTTAAATTAAGTTGAAGGAGAATGGCCTGCGTAAGTCCGTATAGACCTGGGATTGGACATGTCGGGAGAGATGCGTACCTCCACAGTTGTGCCACGGCCTAAAATTATACATGGAGGTCAATGCCAAATAGAATCAGAACAAAAGTCAAAATACTGGTAGCATAAACTGGACGTTGCTACAACCGTACGATTCTAAAACAAACAGAAGATCTTGGAATTTCTATATAACCTACCCACGCCACCATGTTCAGTCACCCGTCGAAACAAAAATAAATAAATTAGTGTATACTTCTAGACTTCTGCTAGAAGCTGATCCCTCAAGGGATCAGATTTGTTCGCTTCCGAATTATCCTCTGGTTAGCTTTAACCGTTCCTATTTCCACGATCCGTATCGCAGTCTGTAATTGAAGCCATATTCTTTGTGACACTTTCGAGATCACACACACACACACACACACAAACACATGCTACTTCTCGCTAGAGTCAAACGGTTGAAATGCGCTCGGCTTGTGTTGGACGATAATACCGTAGTATAAGGGTAAAGTAACATCGAATTCTCATTGAGACCACCTCGCATATTTGTCATAATTGTCTCCAGGAAACACCACCCAGTCGTATGCCACATGGGAATCCAATTGAGCTACATCCTCGTCAGCCGAAAATGTGATGCCGCCTACCGTGGTCTCTAATGTGCTACAATATATATACCTCATCTCGTTCTTTCTAGTCAAATGAATAGATTAGTTGTCCACTATGTCTGTCTAGTTCTACTGGCGGAGCTAATTGAGAGGTAATGCACTCGTCTATATTGAACAAACTATTGGGGGCTTAACTATCTCGTCAGTGGATACATGGAATATAAGTGAACAAGACAGACATGGAATAGGAATCAGCCAATAGGTATCCACTCACCTCCAGCGGATGGTCCTGCAAACCTTCCCAGTTTGGCGCTTCAACGCAATCGGGATAGTTCACTCCGATGGGGAACATGTCCGATACGGATCAACAACTGGGGACTGGTATAGCAAGTGGTTTATGTAGGCTGGCTGTATGCGCTGGCACACCGATCAGCTCTGGATGCATCGGCACTGATGAAGGGGCACCAATCAGCGCCACTGACTGGATCTTGTTGCGATTGGATGTCCATGAACTGAATGCGAAATCAACCCCTCAACTACCCAAACTGAATGCACGTCCAGTGCCCCCATATTCTCGCATAACGTAGAACCAATCAGTGTGAGACTATTTTCTCGTGCAGACGTTCGCTGATTGGACGCATATTCACAGCGCATGGGCGTCTTGTCGTGTATGCGTTTCTGCTGACCCTCCACTGTGCAGTTGCAATGTGGATAATGATGTCCGGTGATTTCAGATGGACCAGCTGAATCCATGATGATGAAGGAATTACAGTGAGGAAGAGGAGGAGCGGTTGACAAGATTCGTATCATGTAAAACGGTGTCGTCAGTTTCCTACAGTTGAGCTGTCAAGGCAAAGTGTGAAATCATCAGTTTGCCAGACAAGTGACGACATGTGAATGTACTGATTTTTCAGCTGCTAAGTCACAATTAGGAACGCTCTAATGCGTAGTGATTCGTTCCATCAAAAGAATGGGAAGCGATATGCACTGCGAACCCGAATGTAAGCAGATACTGGTAGCAATGTACAATTGCTAGTCAGTGATAACAAACTAATCAGGTGAATAAATCCGAAATCGGAAGTTAGTAAGCCTAAAGTAACAACGCGTATCCTTTCACACTGAAAGTGGGCAACAGTACGGCACTGGTTTTAGCTATCATTGAACAGCCACCGGAAGTGATGTATCGGTTCTTGTACCTTGGTAGCTGTGTCACTTCCCGTAGGCACATCTCTGAAGAAGTTACTTCGCGTATCAGCAAGACTCGTGTGGCTTTCCAGAGAATGAACCAGCTATGCAGACAGCGGGATATCAGCCTGTCATTAAAAGGTAGGGTGTATAACGCTGCGATTTGACCAGTGTTATTGTGGGGATCAGATACATGGCCAGTTCGCGGTGAAGACATTAAACGCTTTGCCGTGTTTGCTCACCGGTGCTTGCGGAGTATGTTTTACGTCTGATGTGAACACCGGGTGGGTAATTCAGAGGTCCGTCAGTTGGTTTTTGCCAAGGTCTCTCCAGGTGCCTCATTCGAGCGTTTGCCGAATATTAAGCATTTACATTGGCTAGGTCATGTCCTCCGTATGCCCGTTGACCGACTTTTCAGCGTGCAGTATACGCCGTAGCTGCGCCAAGTTGGTCGAGACTGCGAGGTGGCCAGTCCATGAAGTGGCATAAAAGCATGAAAAAGTGGACTGAGAGAATTGCTCAGGCTGGCGAATGGGGACCCCGGGATGGTTCACACCATTGGTTGAAAACCGTTTCAGATATGGTGCAGTCACGAGGTCAGTGCCGTTCTTGCATTCCATTTCTTGTATCTACCTGTTAGCTTCCATTGTATCCTGATTTGTTTAGAGGACACCCTCCCTGATTCTATATCTGTACGTTTTATTTGCATACTACCTCATTTTCTTACCGTTGTGATTCTGGCAATGAGGGACCCTGCAACTTGATCCACCTCATTTCGGTGCCCGGATCATAGTTGTGTAACTGAACTGAACTGGAGTGAAAGTGGACAACATGTGATCAGAATGAATGTCACCTCGGTGCTCACTTTCATACATATAGCCCAACTGAAGCGCACTGTGTCAATCCGTGAGGCCTTTCTCAGTTGTCTCGGTGGATGACACTAACTCGAAGCCATGCGAATGCAGATCGGATGAGGATAAGACGCGAGATTGTATGCTCTACATACACAGGACAATTGCCTTCCCATAGCTCACATTGTGCAGCCCCGTCGAATTAGCATAACCGCGATTGTGAACACGAACTGGCGTAGGGGCTTCACACTATGAGTGCCAAGCTACTGAGTCACATAACGCTTTGCACAGTAGTTTGAAATTCATTAACAAAAGCCTGCTTTCACACCGTTTGAATGGATCACACTGATAGTATGAAGTTGGCACAGGTCTCTCGGTACGGACTTTCTGGTTTCCATGTAATTTAGAACACCTCTGATGCAGAGAAGATCTCGATAGCACTCTCTTCATAGACTATGCCGCATCGTTGGTTGTTCTACTATGTCAATTATGGGTTATGCTTGCAATGCTGGACGCAAGTTTTGGCGTTTAACGTCTTCTTCAATTGACCGTGGTGTTTGGCCAGCAATTCTCGTTTGGATGCTACTGATTTGCTCGTGATTACTGGTCGAGTGGCTGGGTTGCGACACACCAGCTCGAATATGACGACGAGTTATAGTACAACTTCCCCACAGACTGATTGTACTACAACCGAATACCACCTTTGTTTGATGACAACTGAAGCGTCCTTCATAAGATTTCAGGTATACTCCACTTATTCCTAAAGA